TTTTATTACCAGAAAATAAAACTGTTTTATACATGCAAATCTATGTGCATGTCTGTGCAGACTTCTCTCGAATTTAAAATCTCACACCAGTTAGTTCATCAAATTTGGCAGCCCTTCAAATATGAACTATAACCTATAAAACTTGGATGAAGCTACCAGCAGTTGTAAGAGCTGTCCTTGGGCACTTTATAACCAACTAAAATCCTACAATAAATGAGTTATGGCCTACAGATAGAGGGAAACCCTGTGACTCGCTTTGCCTGCCCATCTCTCCTCTCCTTCCTGTACTGGTCCTCAGGGAATCTGATTCCCTTGGTATAGCCTCATACAATCGGGGCCTCGGTAAGCAGATCCCAAGTCATGGTGACCCTCACAATGTCTGCTCTTGCAACACACCCCAACATCTCCCTTTCTCCTTAAATAATGGAAGCCGCAAGTTAAATAGGCTTCTGCACATGCTGGAACTGACCATTTCTTGATCCTTGTTAGCGTCTACAGGAGCATAAATGTTATCTGTGTGTATGGAGCTGTGTGGCATTTTTATTTGAATAATATGTCACCCCAGATAGGCTTTATCTAAGGGGCTGTATGCAAATTCCATAGCGTTTAATTTGTGAAACCATGTTCCAGGAAGTCAAGTCTGCATGCTGTTACATTCTTGACAGCTCTGTTATTCTCTCTAAACCCCAGTTACAGATAATGTACTAAAAACTTTCAAGGACTGCATCTACTCAGATATTTATGTTTTTGCAGACTATGTTATTATCCTGACAATATTTTAATATTTCATTTTGCATGATATAGGTCCTTAGGCATATAATTTGGTGCTTAAGGTCTAATGACCAAGTTAAACTGACAAATTCTACACTCTAACCGATATGAAAAAAGTCTGCATCTAGGACATGTTTTGTGTCTTGCTTCTTAGTTTAAGACTTCCAAGTTTGAAGATGGCCTCTCTTTCGTGTTACCCCGGGAGGTCACAGCTCTGTTCCCTTCCCTACTGTACACGCTTTATGGGCATCGCAGTGACCCTGTGGTCTTTACAAATGTCACCAGAAGCCCTGAGTCAGGACTGCACCTCGCAGAGACTCCCTCCCTGGCCAATTATGGAATGTTCCACCGTAATGCCAGCGTCCTGGGCATGTCAGGCACATTCTCCTTATAAACGGGGGTGTGACGGCCAGTGGGCAGGTGCTCAGGATGCGGATGGGATATCCGTCTGGGGCAAGTCAAGGATTCTATTTTTGTTCACCATAGTTGCACTTCCGACACAGAATTTCAAAGAGCTTCATACAGACCCATTAATGTGCAAAAGCAAACGATTGTTCTTTAAATATATATCGCTCTATATACTTGAAAATCATGCCTTAAAACACAGCAAAATACCCTAGCATAAGTTTTATCAGCAATTATGACTTGTCTACTGATGTGTGAAACCATGGGGGCATATTTACACTAATACCTTTTCTTGGGGGTATATTTCTTTTCCCACTGAACAATTCACATTTAAAATGTGAATTTCAAAAGCATTAGACCTTTGCAGCTGCTGCCCTGGGTCACATAGTTAAACTGCATTCCAGTGGTTATGGTGTCAGGGGAAGGCATGATGCAATTGGTTAATAAAAACAAACCAAGCACGCTACAGAATCTCCCTTATGCAGTTAATATATTGCTACATACTATACAGTAAATAATAAGCAATTCATCTGAATGAGTTGCTGAATTTATCCATAAGCACTTCGTATTTTAAAAGCATCAACTTTCCCAGTATTCAATATTATTTATATTATATTTATGTCTTACAACACAAATTTATGCTGATCATTAAAAATCTATTATGCAATAACTTGTAAATAGTGATTATGTTACCACACGGTGCAATATTTGTGTAATGTTTTATAATGACTTGAGTAAGATTACATTAAAGACCGTAAACGGCTTAAAATCTTGAAACATATTTAAAAAGCCTCCTGTTACGGCTGCTAAAGTCCTGGTCAGAGTTAGTGCAGCTTTAAAGTCTGTCCCCGTGGGCCTCGTCGCTGCCTTCAGACATGCGACGGGGCTAAAAAAAGCCTGGACTGCTGCAGCTGCTCGAGTCACATCAACAGTTGGAAAGTGCCTCCGAAGGGATGCTCTCTGCAAACTGTCCGTCGGCCATTTAGCGAAGCAATATCGTGTCTATGGTTGCTATGGCCGTTGGACCGCATGCCCCCCAGTGAGCATTAGCTTGACATCAGTAGGCATGTGCAAGCGACGTTTACGACGTCTCCATGGCAACAGACGTGTCGGTGGCGGCCGGCGGTCCTGACGGAGAGACGTAAACAGAGCCAGCCGGTGAAACGCGCGGCGACCTTGCGGTTGCGGTAAAGCAAGCTGGGCAAGCGGGACTGAGGGCACACTGAGTGCACTGGCGCATCCCCTTTAAAATCTCGCGGCGGCACGCTTGCGCATTTGCATGGTTAAATCACCCCCCCCCTCCCCAGACCTTCACACATTCATGGACGCCCTCTTGAGTGCATTCCAGACACACCTCTTTGCCAAGCCCTTGCATCTAATATGTGTACATATTGTACACCCCACGCACCCACCCAATCAGAAATCATTTATGTGGGGGGGGGCTGCACTGCATGAGACGTGAGACCGCACTTCCTTTTAATGGCATTCCGTTGCCTCAAAATAAAAAGCTTAATCGGGGTTTGACACCCCGTGCTGCAGGGATCTGCCTTTCCTGGTTCAGCTAATCTGTTTCCCCCACCCCCCCCGACGCCGTCAGCCAAACCTCACTATCTGAACAGGCGTCCCACTCTGGCGATCCTCCGGCACTGACCTCTTTTAGCGCTGAGACTCTCCAGTGAGGCTTCCCCCGGCTCCCGCCTGTCTAAGCAGTGTTTCTCCTGCCCGGCACCCCTCCCTCTTCTCCTGGCTGCCTTTATACAGAGCGTCGAGCAGCTGAAGGGTGCAGTGCATTGTGGGAAAACTGGAAACCGGAGAGGAAGGGGGGGGGAGGAGGTGGGGCTTGAGAGATACTGTCCTTCTTGTGAGGCAGAGGAACTGGTTACTCAAGCAACTCCCTTGCATTTCAACTTCTAGCTCTGCTGCCTCGGACTGCGAGGGGGGTGGGAGTTTTGTAACGAAAGGGAGCATTGTCGGGGGGGTGAGCTTCTTTTGAGTTCGTAAGCAAATGCCATGGCTACACTCTGGTACTGGGTCTCCGTCCTGGCTGTGTCAGATCAGCAAAACAGGCTTGCAACCCGAGAAGACAGAGTTCCTCTTTTTTTGCCATAAACATGTTTCAGCTTGTGAGTGTGAACTGAGGGTGACAAAGAGCCTCCCTGCAAAGGCACAGGCCCAGCAACCATAACAAACAGAGTGACACCTTCCACACACAGACATTTATCACATGATCAAATTTCAAAACCCCTTGTTTGGTCGTTGCCATTGAATCTTGACTCTGCCATAGTTTTGTTTAATCTGCATGTGAACTAGCTGACCTACAGTGCTCACAGAAAGTCTCGGGGCGCTTGCTTAATTCTGTAAAAATGTTGCCAATTTATTTCATAACAAAAGCCAGTTGACAAGCAAGATTTAACAAAATCTGCACATATCATCCAGAGACATTTTCAAGTGTCTTTTTTAACTTATTAATTCAGTTGTTGGCATTTTTCTATTATTGGTGTTTTATGTTATTGCAAATGTGTTACTAATCACAAAGCACCTAATAAGCCTGCTTGTCAATCAACTTTTTAACCCATGTGTCACTTTTGTGTGCATTATACTAAACCCC